CATATGCTTCACCATCTCTTGATCTCTGCTTTTTGACCTCAAAGGTCCCTTCTTTTTGTATGTGATCGAATTCTTTTATTCTTTGCTTCTTAGGGAGTTGAAGAGCATTTTTCACCCTCTCTTCATCCTTATGCATTTTGGAAAGATGACCTGATAACTTAGCCTTAAACTTTTTGCAATATATGCAATATCTGAACGATTTCTTGTAGGATGGGTTCTTATCACTGCATGCTTCTTGTCCTGAAGAACTTTCTGTCAGGCAACTATTGACTGTACAAGACTTCTTGTATTGTACATCTTTTTCAATGCTGACAGTTGACTTCTCATAAACAGTAGATTCACCTGTCAATGGGAAAACATTACTTCATTTTTCAAGTGAATCAGAACTGGCTGGAACGGAGATCGGATCATTCATATCACCATCCTTATTAGACTTTTGAGTAGAGTTTAATCGCCTCCTTTTAATTACAAAAAGTGCATCAGCGTCATCCTCTCCACTGGCACAGAAGAGTCTTCTTCTGATTGGCAAAAGGGCTGAGACTGTATAAAGGGCACTTTTGAAGATGATTCTTGTGACTGAGAAGATCCTGGTATGACAAGGCCGCAGTGATATATTACCCTCCATTCGTATTGCTGTGGTGACTGCATTTACTATTCTATCAAATTCGACACTAATTGCTACCTTTTTGCTCTTGAAAAACTTTCTATTCACGATGCCTGGAGCACCTCCAGCGAGTCTCATAGTCTGGTAATACCTTTTCTGTATTGTCTACCCCAACTAAAGATTAGAGCAACAAAAATACAGAATAGACAGTAAGAATGATTTATTATTTGATAGGCATAACATGTACATCAAAACTATATACATACAAAAACAGGTCAACATTACATACCATACAAGAGTACTATATATTCATTCATTTGAAATTATCAATCTACAAAAAATAATCGGTGATGATGTCTAATGATTGTATATGCTTTTCATGTGAGCAACCAAGGGACCGACGGCTTTACGTTCTCTGCGAGGGACTTGGTAATGACGATTAATGCTTTACGAATGGCCACAAGCGTATTGACTTGGTTTTGAACTTAAGACCTCCTGGTTATCCTTTGAATAGGGGTATTTGTGGAGTATCTTTTCCCAGGCCCAAGATTGCCCCCCCCCCATCCTACCCTTTTTTTCACAGTCCAGTATTGGAGTTCCAGACAATGTACAGTTCATACTTGGATGTAGCAATGCCTTTAATTGCTACTCCAACTGAGAGACGTGCAGTTTTGTTATGAAGGTAGAGAGTATGGCTTGAATTCACAAAGGAGGTTTGTAGACAAACCTAGGTTTATGTGCGTCATATGATGCATTTAGATTTGAAACGCATCGAAACGCATTATATGACGCACATAAACCTAGGTTTGTCGACAAACATCCTTTGTGAATTCGGGCCTGTGAGTTTTAACCAAATGGGGATACAAGGTGATTGGTTTGACAACCCCAACCAATACTCATACATGTACTAATATCATTTGAAGGTTTGAAGAGAGTCACATAGATACAGGGAAAGGAAAAAGATTCACCAAATAACTATAACCTGAAGGTTTTCTTCCATGTAACTCAACAGAAATAGATTGCACAGAATACCAGATACAACAAACTATGAACAAATAAAGTAAAGGGAAAGCAACTAATGTCCCATGATGTACATGCACAATTATGTCTGGAAAAAAATATTTAAACAAGATAAAGGGGAGTACACATGTACCCAACCAAATATTGAACATACCATGAACCTGTGGAGGTTGCTTTGCAAAGGAATACAATTAAACAATATCAGCGACTAATCAAACAGTATAGTATTAATGACTGCTTTGAGAGAAATAGTTGTTTTATTACGCTCAAGGGAAGGTTAGAATTGTGCTATTCCCCGAGGCTTGCCGAGGGGAATAGCCCAATTGTAACCTTCCCGAGAGCGTATGAAAACAACTATTTCTCGAATATTAAAGCAGTCATTAATACTTTTATATGCCGAAAAAAAATAGACTAAAAAATAAAAAATAAAAAATATTTTACTTTTTTGTCGAAGACGGGATTCGAACTCTTGCGTACAACAAGAGGAGTATCGAAAACCAACGCTTAGACCACTCGGCTATCGCGCGACCTTAACATGCTTGGCAGTTTTCTCCAATATATATATTAAAATGGATTGAAAACTGCTCCGCGTGAGGGATGCTTCGCAAAAGCTCCATGAAACGGACCCTTCTTTTACTTTTGCAATGCATATTGGCACGAACTTAGATCAAGATCTATCGGCAGATGTTGTTTTTTTGTTTTTGAGAGTTAATTTTCGTCTTCATGTCAACAATGCAAGATAAAATTGTCGGTAAGATCGATCGAGATTCAATTGTATTGAAATTGCCGACCAATTTTTCGCACACGTATGGTATCCTCCATCGCTCAAACCATTTTTTAACATGTAAACCTATGGGGTAACCATGGAGACTGACCTATTTTTTTAATAACCATGGTTATTAAAAATATTGAAATGTTTTATGCATGGTTACCGGGAATTTTACAGGAACAGTTGAAGTTTATGAATGCAATTCGACCAATCAGATGGCTGGATTTCTTAAGTGAGGTATATAATAAGTTTTATTATACTGCAAATTTGTGTCTGTTGTTTAAATAAATGTTTCAGGGTTCTGTTTTTCCTAGTACATGTCATATATGTCTATTTGCACCGACCCAATGTACTATGTGGTAAATTCTAGCACAAGCAATTCAATTTGAAAAATATTGATACCATATTTTCCTGATTGATCTTGTATCAACTTTACATGATACCCACATATCATCTAATAAATTCTTTGTGGATAGTAGAAATTCAGCACAACACAGGCGCTTAAAGGTACTATGTCCCATTTGCAGGCCAAAAAAATAAAAAAGTTAAATTCCAACTGCATTTGAAAGATAATAATAATTTAGAACTTCCCTAAAAAAGATGGGGCTTGAAAATGTCTTCAAGTGGGAAAATAACGACTATTAGTTGTCAAATTGACTTTAGGGCTATAGAGCCCAAAAGTAATAGTCTTGATTTTCAGACAATTGTACCGAATGGTCAAACGTTTAATGCTGCGCAAAGATTCAATCAGTTTAATCCTGGCCGTCACAAGAAGTGGGTTATTGATGTAGACAAATGCTCATGTACCCTTTACAACTCTTTTCATGTATATTATTACCAAAGAAGAAAAAAAGTCAGACAGTCACTCAATAGTGTCTGACAGTGAAGTCTAGCAAGTAAACAGGTTTCCTTGCATAATTTGAATATGAGGACACTGCTAACGTTTAAATTTCACAGATAGGACATACATGACATATTCATAATTCCTGAAAAGTTCTACAGAATTTGAGGTTGGCTGCAAAAGGGACATAGTACCTTTAAGACGTCTAAAGAAAAATAAAACAACCAAAGGCAATGTCAGTAACCTAGTTCATCACCTGTTTTATGTAATCTGAACATGAATGTTTATGGGATGATCATGACAGTACTGCAATTGGCTTAATGTTGATTTCTATAAGTGAGTGTTGTACAGTCATTTTTTGTGTCACAGCATTATGCTCTTGCATTGATTTAAAGTACTAATTTTGTGAAATCATTCAACTTTTGGCTTCAATATTTTATGTAATGTTCATACTACATGTAGTCATAAGATACGCTAGATATTCCTACATCATTTAAGAGAGTTATTGTAAATAAGAAGTTACTCGCTTATATTGGACAATCATGTAATTAAGACATCTGTTTATGGTTTTTATATCAGGTATGAAATATATTTGCTAATTTTGTATACTTCTTGTTGTGCTGATTTGTTATTTTGTTGTTGTATAATTCTTTGTTCAGTGTGTCTCCAGCTACCCTCTGATCATCACCTGTTACTCTTTCTTGTCTTTTCATTTATCTCCATCTACATTGCAAACCCATTCTTTTTGGTATTTCTTTTGCTGCTACATGTACCTTCCTTATTTTGTAATATCTTTATTAGCCCTGTAGTGTATACTACCTACATCAAAGACTTTCTCTCCTTAAAGTTTCGCTCTTCTCTTATATATTGTTTTAAAGCCCCACTGCCCTACTTGTAGCTACTTGCTCCCTCTATATAGAAAACTTCCCAATCGGTGCCTGTTGGTCCCCCATGATCCTCTTTTTCTTATGCTAGTTGAGAGCTGAGTTAATGAGATAGCCACCTGTCAGTGACCTCACTGTGTGTGCTAATCCTTCTGGCCCAGCAATATTGACGGTCTTTAGGATCCTCATCACCTGATTTTAACAACGCTCTGAAGTCCTCTTGTCCGCCCATATCTCTCTCTAACTCTGTCTCTCCCTCTTCCTTCTCCTCTACTTATACTCCCCCTCTATACTGTCTTGTTTAAATCTTTTCCTCTTTGTTCTCTCTCTCCCCCCCCCTCTCTCTCTCTCTCTCTCTCTCTCTTAACTCTCACTCGCCCTCATCTTTCTATTTCTCATTTCCATCTCATCACTTCGTTACCCCTCCATCCTTTCTCACCTCACTCCTATTTCTCTGTTCATTCATCCTTTTCACTCTCTTTCATTTCTTTTTTTAGATTGTCTCTCTTCATCCTTCTTTGCCCAACTCTTGATATTATAGCACATTAGAGGGTGAATAGAAATGAATTTATGAGGGCAAGGAAATGTAATGCTCTAAAGTAAGTATGAAAGAGAGAAGAGAAAAGAGAGAGAGGGGGGGGGGGGTAGAATAGGGAGTGCGAGAGAGAGAGAGAGAGAGAGAGAGAGAGAGAGAGAGAGAGAGGAAGTGAGGAGAGAGAGGGAGTGGGGAGGGAGAGTGTGTGTGGGGGAGAGAGAAAGAGAGGGAGTGGGAGAGAGAGAGTGGGAGAGAGAGAGAGGGGAGTGGGGAGAGAGAAAAAGAGGGAAGGAGATAATTAGCAGAGTATGTGATCAAGTGGAAAAATGAAAACCGTGGAAAATACATTTTCGTACTGATATTTAATTCAGCACCTACCTGTACATCAAAAACAAACCTTCAAGAACAGAAATACATCTTGGATAAAACTGTTTTGAATGTATTGAAGTATTTTAAAAAAGATAGACTCGCGTGTGGCTTGGCTTATACATTGTATTCATTTTTCTCATTATTACGTATAATATTGTTAACAACTATGCAGAAACACAATAACTGGAGATTATAAAAGTGATTTTTTAAATATTTCATTATAAACTCTTTCCCCCATTTTCTCCATTTAAAAGAGGTTCACTTTTGTGTTTTACACTGATTAATGCAAGGTAGCATGTCTCCATGAAAACCTGTTCTTATTGATTTATCTTAGTGATTATTGAACCATATTTTCTTTATTCTAGTTCCACTAAATTTGTTTTATTACACAAAGATTATACCGAAACCATTTTGATTCAAACAAAGTCAAGTAAGACCAAAAACAATCTTGATGACGGTGATGTTTTTTGTCGTGTTATTCGGATGGGCAAACGGTAGAGGTACGCCAAAACGCCTGGACTACTCCCGGTTCGATTCCGTTGTAGTCTCCACACATCAAAGAACTGCAGGTTGATTAAATGTGGAGTAGGAGTTAGGGGTAGGGGAGAATGTAAGGGAGTTGGAGGGTATCCAGGAGAGAAGAAGGGAGGGAATGAAAAGATGAAAAGAAGAGTTCGAAATATATATACACCACGAAATGGCAATAAAGATATGTTTACTATTAAAAAGTACGATCATGTAGAAGATATAGTAGATAAATGAAGCGAAGGGGGCATGGTGAATACATATAGAGGACCGAAAAACAGCGATGAAACAAACATTTGTAATCAAGTGTGAATGCCTCCAGCAAAAAAAAAAGTTAAATTCCAGTGAATAAGTATTCCTCATTTTCAGACCATCTCCATGGTCTAGATAGCGAAGCCGTCTTATTTTGAAGGACAGACAGTATCAGTGCGCCAAAACGATTGTACATCGCCTGGTTTTATTCCGTTATAATCTCCACACATGGTAGAACTGAAAATGTTATGATGAAATTCGAATTATGATTGCAATCACAGAGTAGTAGTAAGGGAGAGAAAGAGAGAGAGAGAGAGAGAGAGAGAGACGGTTTTTTTTTGGGGGGGGGGGGGATATAATAGAGCGGGAACAAGTAAGGGGCAGAAAGTGGATTGGAGCGCAGGGAGAAGGAGAGAAAGAGGCAGAAAAAGAAGGAAAGGAGGAGAGAAAGACGAAAAGATTGAAGAGATAACCAACGTAAAAGAGAGAGATAATAGAACATTTGATTTGTTAATGATAATGATTATATGCCCAATGTTAAAATGGATTTGTGTTATATAAATAGCGGAAGATGCATGTTAAAATGATAATATAAACAGATTTGAATAAAGAAAGAAAAATGACATGAAGAAGAAAGGGCGAAAGAAAGAACAAAGAAAAGGTAAGTAAAATATAATTTTAATACTTTTATGCAAACAAACATTAGATGATTATTTTTAAAAGATTAATGCAAAATGCAAAATTTGATAAGTCTAAAAAGAGTATGCAAACCATGAATGATTTCACGAATGCAATCTTAATACAATGTATATACCGTGTGAGTCAAACAAAAGTTTACCCCTAGACAATTGCTAATTATTTTAAAAATCATCTACGCACAATAAGTTATTACACATCTTATGAAAGAGTGTTTTTATCCCAAATCATTCGGTATCATTTTTTTTGTGTGGTATGTGTTCACGCTTGGATGAACAGGAAGCATTGTTTGCGAGAGTGCAAAAATCGACTTGCGCCAAAGTATGTTGGGATTAGCGGAGTGAGAGAATGAATTGAATGTATCAAATGAAGTGCATTGCGTATGCTTTTTGCAGAAGCAAAGTCACACGCGCATGCACAAATGTTCGTTGATATTTGATATTCGATATTTGATATGTGTGGCATGATTAATGTTGTTGGGGTGTTGTTTGGATTTGCAAAGGCCGAATTAATACCCGAATCCCATATGTTTTATTCAAACATCACATAAGCAACTTTGGCGCAAGTCGATTTTTGCACTCTCGCAAACAATGCCTTCTGTTTATCCAAGCGTGAACACTTACCACACAAAAATGATACCAAATGATTTGAGATAAAACTCTCTTTCATAAGATGTATAATAATTTACTGTTCATATACGATTTTCTAAAATAATTAGCAATTTTCTAGGTGTAAACATACTCACACTATGCTTTAGACAACTTTACTTCTTTCACCATGAATTGTCTTTGAAGCTACAGCCAATTATGTATGTCTATCTAAAAATGTGATCTCTTTTTCTGATCAGAAGGGGGGGGGGGGGGGGGTTAATGGGCCTGCACATTTAGGGTTCAAACTCATTTTGCTATAAGCAGAGTCATTGATATTTATCATTTTATCCTGCATCAAAAATGTATTGGTTTTTGGTTGGTTGAGAGGTCGTCACGTGACCAGAAATATTTCTAATATTTTAAGGTTGCTCTGCAAAAGTACTATTTGGGAGTTGACATTTTTTTAAAGATTTTTGTTGTTTTTGCAAATCGTAATTTAATAATTGTTTTTATATATAGTATATAGCAAATAGTACTATTGGAGTCACCTCTTGCGCATAGTTTAACCAGAGGCCAGAGCCTCTCAAGACAGTGTATATTTGTATACTACCTCTTTATACAAAATTGCACTTACACGTTGCCTTCGCTATCGGTCACTTGTATTTGATGAACGAAGAGTTCTGGTCTCTCAATGACCTCCCAGTCCCACCACCACCAATCTGGGTCGTAGTCCCACTCAAAGTAGAGTCCTGACAGTCCGCCTGTGTCTTGGGGACTCACATCGTAAGGCACCATGTGCTGGTATACGATGCTTGTATAGTACTCTACAGTCTCACTGTGAAGCATTTGGGAATGATCAAAGTTGCAAAATGATATCAGTGACATAATCTCTTCAATTTTCAATCTGAATATTTGTATAAAATATACGAATCTAAAATTCGATTTTCTAATTCTAAGATTGAGTTGTAGAGATTGATGCTATATTTATACCGCCATGTTAGTAAATGTACAATTAAGTAGGTCTTTAAATATATATGTATATATCTTCTTCTTTTTTTTGGGGGGGGGGGGGATACATAATATTTCATAAAAAGTTCGAAATGAAGACTGATCCTCGTGGCATTTGTCGTTTGTTATCCGAAATAATATCGTCCGACCAATAGATACCCGAGTCAGATTTAAAAAAAGTTGAGTTTAAAGGCAGGGTATCTTACTAACCAGGGGCGGCAGAGCATCTTTCAAAGTGGGGGTGCAACAGCATAAAAGGGCACTTTCATGAACCAAAGACTTGTCCTTATTTTGATTTATTTTTTCCCTTCTTCATTGTTTTTTTGTTTGTTTTTTGATTTTTTTTGTTGACATTTAACATTTTTTTTACTGACACAAAAGATAACATCGTCTTTAGAATACCGCTCCAGGATGCTTACGAGGTGAGAGCGACCTTGGATGACTGGGCATTATATCCAATGAGAGTAATGAAAATCTGTCCTTTAGCATCATGGGCTTTGCGATGCTCATCCATCTTGAGAGTGAATAGGTATTGATGGCCTGGAAGAGAAAATCGCGGCGATGGTCAGTTTCAATCGTTACGGAATGAAATTTCCATAAAATTTTCAATGTTTAATAGACAAAGAATATTATAGACATTTTTATAAAAAATCTACAAATTAATCAACTTTTATAACGTTTGAGTGTCCTATCAACCATTCATCTAATTTGTGAAATCTTGAATTTTATGTAAATTTGTTACTGAATGTCGAAACAATGACCTTTTTATGTCATTCCGTAACAAACCTATATCAAAATTCAATATTTCATACATTTGATGAACGATTGATAGGAAACCCATATGTGAAAGTACTACTACCTCACAATAATCAATTATGTGATTGTCATATCATCAATTTGTAGATTTTTTAATGAAAAAGTCTTAACTATTTTTTATTCAAAATTGAAAATCTGCCACGCGTCTGTGTCAGTATCATTCTGTAACGCTTTGCATTGACAAGGCATTCTCGATCTCTAGATGCACAGCACAGGAGTGGAAACCCACTCTTTAGAGAGTCATATTCTGGATCACTTCATTTTGGAATGGAAATCCACACTAAAAAGGTGGAATCCACGCTCGAACAGTGAGTTCCAATCCCAAAGGAGTGATTCAGAGCAATACTTGAGAGTGGATTCTGTAAACGGATCGGTCCCTGTTATGACTCCTAAAGAGTGAATTTTCACTCTTTTGCATTATAAAACTTACAAGAACATGTCAAATAGAATTACTGCATAGGCGATGTGTGTCAAACTTTGTGTCAAGCATTCGGTAAAATAAAAATTACCAACAAGCTAACTAATTGCCCTCTCCAAATGTACAACTTACTGACATACTGGCATGAGTCTAAAGAAAATGTAAAAAGAACGATTTTTTTTTTAGCGGGGCTTCACTTACAAATATGCCGACAGAGGTTCTGTTATTTTCGACAAGTAAGCAGGCGTAACAAAAAAAAAAAACAACAACAACCGCAAAAAAAAAAAAAAAAAAAAATCGCCCCCTGAGAAAAAAAAAAGAATTTGGTAATTTGCCCTTCGTGATTTTAGAACAGATTTTTCATATTTTGCCACAGCGATTTTGAAAGAGCTATAGTTGCACCCCAAGTGGGTTAAAATTCGTAGAAAAATTGTTGAGCATACCACAGAAGGGCTCATCACCATTGGTGTTAATCTGGTAGACGTTGCCCTCCCCACCCCGGTAATCAGCGGGGGCTTGCCATCCCATCCTCGCAGAGAGGTCGTCGTTGAAACATAGCCCGTAGTTGTAATCGTCGTGGTCCCGGGTGCATTCGAAAGCGAGGAACGGACAGTCAGAGTTGATGGATTCCTTGAAAAACGCTATGGAGCGAAGATGATTACAGGCTACGAACTGAGCAGTACCTAGAGTAGAGGCATAAAATGGATACCTAATTAGAGAGAAACTCACGGAAAGTCTGCTTTATTATTTTAATGAAAAGATTTAATAAATAAAAGCTAATAATAGGGGCGTTGAACTCCGAATCATTTATACAGGCACAGACACTTCCTCCGCATATTTTTCCGTTGCACCCCTCCCTCTTCCCCAATCAGTAGCAATGGTTGTTAGTTGAAATATCATGGCCGTGTCAGGAGAGAGAGATCTTGTAGATGTATTTGAAATCATCAATTTCCAAGATTATTTAATTGAAATGTTTGAAATAGCTAGCAAAGAGGTAATGTTTATTTTCAAGAGGTAAAATACTATTTAAAAAAGTAGAAAGAAAGCTGAGCCCATTTAAATGCCCGATGTAGTGTGCACTTGAACTCTTGAGCCCCTTATCGCAGCGTGAAGCCGAGTTTGAACTAGTGCCGAGATATCCCGACCCGAACTTGAGACTAACAATTTGCATTACCGTCATAGAGGCCATCGTCGCCAATGTACTCAAACAAGCTTTGATCACAGCCTGGTTGAACTCGACCACCGTTTGGAAAGAAGTCCATATGTCCACATGGAGCGTACATCCCGTACCCTGCAAGAAATATCGTATACGAGTAGGCTCATTGTTACGAACAGAGTTATACTGATCTGTGTGGGAAGTTCTTTTCATTATTGAGAATGTTTCGTTTGAAATCGATCGGTTACAAGAATGTGATGATGCTGATGGTTGTTCTACAGTCTAAGAGTAGATCAAATTACTATGAAGACATCGTGCACCGCTGCCTCAACCATGTCCATCATCATCATCATAATCATCACCACCACCAATCCATCACCATGATCACCACCACCATCGCCACCACTATCACCATCACTACAACATCCAACACCATCACCAACAACCACCACCATCAGCAACATCACCATCACCACCACCACCATCCCATCATTATCAGCATCATCATCGTCACTATCACAATCGCCATCATCACCATCACCATCACCATCGTCACCACAACAATCACCACCATCCCTATCATCACCATCACAATCCTCACAACCACCATCACTACCAACACCATCACTATCATTATTACCCCACCACTTTGATAATCAAGTAGTTATAACAGTTAGAGCAAAATTATTACTGTTTTCATTACAAAAACTGCCACCAACAACATTACAATTAATGCAGCATGACCCCACTACCACGAACTACGATACCACTTTCTTCATTATAATTACAGCCACCATCATAATCACCACACCACTTTCATCATCGAGAAAATTATAACGCTGCTGGAATGAAGCTAAGCAGAGCAGAACACATAACCATCACTGGAACAGCCACCACCAGCGCAAAATAATCACCATCACTATCACCACCGTCACCATCACTATCACCACCGTCACCATCACTATCACCACCGTCACCATCACTATCACCACCGTCACCATCACTATCACCACCGTCACCATCACTATCACCACCGTTCACCATCACTATCACCACCGTCACCATCACTATCACCACCGTCACCATCACTATCACCACCGTCACCATCACTATCACCACCGTCACCATCACTATCACCACCGTTCACCATCACTATCACCACCGTCACCATCACTATCACCACCGTCACCATCACTATCACCACCGTCACCATCACTATCACCACCGTCACCATCACTATCACCACCGTCACCATCACTATCACCACCGTCACCATCACTATCACCACCGTCACCATCACTATCACCACCGTCACCATCACTATCACCACCGTCACCATCACTATCACCACCGTTCACCATCACTATCACCACCGTTCACCATCACTAACATAATCGTCACCGTCACCATCATCATCACTATAATAATCACCACACCACGGTCATCATCAAACTAATTATACTGCTGTTTACCTCACATCAACACCGCGAACATCTTCACTTTAAACGCAGAATAATGTCACCACCACAGCCACCACCACCACCATCATCATCACCATCAGCACCATTATCAACATCATTACCATGACCACCACCACCAGACCACCACCGTCACCACGATCATCATCATAAGCATTATATCTGGTAGGTGCCACTGTGATTTCCGACCTACCCAGTTTGTAGATTGGGTCTGTGTCCGTGTGGATGACATCAACAAAATCAGCATCAGTGGTATCGAGACGGACTATGGTGTCCATGTCTTCAAAGTAAGGCCCAGCGGGATCCAAACCTGTGCAGAATCAAACCATAGCTTTTCATCTCGATTTGTAGAGCTTCATACCAAAAGGCGCTCAAACAACTTTTGACCGAAATTTATATTATTAGATGAATGCATGTACATAATACATGGGAATCAGATGCACTACATTGCCCCCGGCCACCCCTCTTTTGAAACTCTAGTGGCATGAATAACGAAAAGATTGAGGTGAAATAATGTGTCTATTAATATTTAATTTACCTTTAGCTCTGAAGGAATTTAAAGTAAAAATAAACTTAAAAGAGAAGAAGAAGGAAATAGCTAGGACCGCTTTTTTACTCGTAGACCCACCTATGCTACTTTAGATTTACTTTATGTTTACCTGTTATCCTGGCCACCTTTGGATTATTCTGTCTCTCTCCCGCGTAGCCAGCTACATGAGCTCCTAAGCTATGCCCGATGATGTGGAAAGAACTTGCCTCCACTCCATAGTGACTCTTAGAAAGAACGTGATTAATGCATCTTTGTTACTAATATCATTCGGAAGTATTCAAGTTAAATCAACTTCAGTTATACATTCTTTTGTTATTGGTACTGTTACGTGTTTTGTTTGTTTTTTGATTCCATGTATTCGACATTCGAAATGATTATGTTTATCATTGATATGTTCACAGGCGTACAGGCACAATATTAGAGGGGGGGGGGGGGGGGGGAGGCTGGCGCCTTTTTGCTAAAAATTATCAGGCTTTCTATTTCTAAATAAATTTTCTGCGTACGAGCTTAGCGAGCAGGCAAACATTTTGGCCCGAATTCACAAAGGAGGTTTGTCGACAAACCTTGGTTTTCGTACGTCATATGACGCGTTTTACGCGTTTTTTACAAACCTGGTTTGTAAAGAACAAAAGGAGGTTTGAGCTCAAACCTTGCTTTGTGAATTTGGGCCTCTGACTTTTCGTTGTAGTGAGAATCACAGAAATTTCATAATCTGGAATCTTCTGGGCGAATATTATACTATTCGGGCATCTTGCTGCTTGAATATTTGAACTTTGAAAATCCCTCGGGGGTGGGGCTGCGCAGTCCTCCTAATAATCATCGCCTCGTATGCCCATTCCTGAGCATCAGATTTGCCCATCCCGATGCTCCAATGGCTTCAAGCTACACGTCTCCAGGGCATCGTTTTCACGAAACCATTATAAGTACAAGTTTGCAGGCATCCCACTGAAACACGCCCGTTTAGACGGTGTGTTCACGAACTAAACGATACACTGGAGCTTAATTAGCAAAATAATGGACACTTAAAAAGATAAACTTGAAAGTCAGTGAAAGTGATTCACCCTGAGCAGGTCTATGAGCAAGGAGACTTCTGCGCCTACGATTCGGGTGTTAGCTGCGGACACGCCGTAGACTCCGAGAGCTCCACGTTGCCAGTTGACCCTGATGACATTGTAGTCACCCTGCACGAGGAACTCATCCACCATCTCTTCCATCCACGATACCGAAGAGCTCTGGGTGAATCCATGCGTTATGACCTGTACGAGAGAGAGAGAGAGAGAGAGAGAGAGAGAGAGAGAGAGAGAGAGAGGGGAGACAGAGAGTGAGGGAGAGAGAGAGAGAGAGAGGGGGGAAGAGAGAGAGAAGGAGAGAGGAGGATACAGAGAGGGAGGGAGAGAGGAGGAGACAGAGAGGGGAAGAGAGAGAGAAGGAGAGAGGAGGAGACAGAGAGGGAGAGAGAGAGAGAGAGAGAGACCAGGAAATGGTTTGTACTTATTCTTCAGCATCTATAAAAAGTGAATTAAAAATAAAACCTTTACTATTTTGTTTCATTTTTTCCTCTTTCCTTCTTTTGTTTCTTTTCATATTTTGCATTTGATACAGTTTAGTTTGAAAGGGGAATATTGTCTATACTCGTAAGAAAAATTGGTCGAAATTGCCTCTTTTCAAAGAACCATGTAAAAAAAGGAGGCGGAAAGCCGTTCAAAGTGCTGGGATACTTGAAAACAAAAAGAAGAAAACTTTTTGACAAAAGACGCAGTTAAATAATATGACAGGGGCTTTAAATAGTTGACGATGACGATGATGATAATTATTCGAATGAATCGCACCAAGGCTATTAAAGCAAGGAAAGACCAATTATAATGTGTCTCTGCGTGGCACTCTGCCAACACGGGTTCGAAGCTGATACATATTTCTCAAAAATTGCGATTAATACGTATTTCTTTTGCATTTCATTTTTAAGAGAATCACATTTTAGGCGCCGTGTGCGAAAGAGCAGAAGCGCCCGTTACCTTTTCAACGTGTCTAAAACCCTACCTTCGTTTCCCTGTTGGGATCAAAGTCGGTGTCATAGAAGTTATCCGGGTAGTAGGTGCTTAGCTCCTGCCACGACGAAGTGCTGGGGACGTTTCGGGTGTTCAGTTGGAAGGTGGTACCGATATCATCACGGCTTTCCGGTAGCCAGCTCACCGGGCGGTTCAGGGGGTCGTAGAAAGGATATCCGTTGTCAAAGCATCCGATATCTTCGTAGCATACTTCTCGGGCCCAACAGGCTATTGAACATTTGATTACGAAAAATATACCGGTTTATTAAAATGTTTAAATTTATGGATGTTTCTTTCCTGGGTATAGTGACGAGTTATTCCATTAACTGTTGGTGAATGAACTACAATATTTGAAATCCAGTCTAAATACATTCAAAATAATAATAATAATAATAATGGTGGCTTCTTATATGGCGCACATGTCCGTCACGTTGTGACGCTCCTGGCGCTTCCCCGATTACTGGCGCTATATCGGGGAAAGCCTCCGACAAAGTATGCATAACATTTGAAAAGGTTAGTACACCGTTCTATTGGGAAGAGAAGTTATAAAATCAGGTTTATCTATCACCATTATGAAGTTAACCTGTCAAATACAAGTTTGACGCCGATCCACCAAATCGCACGATTCTGCCAACTTAAAACGGCGACAGAAAGTTTACTAAAGTATCCATAGTCATTATGTAAACTTATCAATATTTTTGCTATGTTGTGTTCATGATAAGCTGCATGAAGAGTTGTATTTTAGAGGATTAATGCTGTTTTCATGTGAATGATCGATAACATTTGTTAAAACATTCATCGCTGAGATAATCACATTTGTAAATCATTTTCAAGATGCAATTTATATTTGACTTAAGAACATTCCCCAAATAATTGGAATGATCGAATATCAGATTACAAGTGAAGTAATACAAATGATTCGTCATTTAAATGGACAAGTCGTCCAATGTGTTTTGACCCACACGCTATACTGACATCATCGAAGTTTTTAGTATTTCTAAAAAATTATATAACAATGGTATGCTTCAGTAAGTGTCGAGGGTAATGATAATGTCGATGTTTCCAATCTACGAATCGGTAACGGGACACTAAAAAATAAATATTTTGGACTTTATTTTATTTCCTTCAAAAAAATTATCCTAGAAATTTTTGTTTTGAACGATGCGATTTCCTCCACTTTTTTTTCACTTTACATATATTATTAGGCGTGTCAACGTGTAATTCATCTAAGGTATATACGAAACTTATATACTTCGCGAGCGCGAATAAGTGTTCTTACATGATAGTGGGTTCTTGGCGCTCCACAATTTGTATATTACCCTAATATGGTGCACATTCTTAATTTATTTCAATAAATTCCCCTAATGATATTTAATAAGTACATTATCTACACTTTGCATACAAGTAATCTTTTCGTATACGCTCTTATGCAAGAGCTGACATGACAAACGCTTCAGCCCCTACATGTAGATCAATTACCAGATACAACGATGACTCTATCTAAGCCTCGCGTTTTCGAATGGAGGAAGCTAAGGTATATTATTTAATTAAGTATGGCCATTTAAGAATATTCGTTTTTTTTCCTTCTTAGTATTCAAGCCAAAGACAATTCATCGGGAGATCTTGTAACTTCTATACAGTACTAAACAGTACGGTGTAACTCTTTATTCTCGTTGTATCCAACATTGAGTTCATTTCTAAAACCCATAAAAGAGAAAAATGCTCTTACTGAAGCAAGAGGGAATGGGCACCAAACCAGAAACTGGAAAACTATTTCTCCCACCTAATGTAAGATATCATGTATATACATGACGTATTACACGAAGTTTCAAAATAAAATGAAGTCGAGTACTGGTCATGCAATGGAAACAACCGTCTGAAAGCGATCGTGAGTGGTCGATTTTGTAGTACATAAGACATAATGTAAAAAAAACACACCGATGGTTTGGAATGATAAACTGTTAAGAAATTGATTAAGCCTTCCTTAAAGATACTATGTCCCTTTTGCAGCCAACCTCAAATGCTGTAGAACTTTGCAGGAATTATGAATATGTCATGTATGTCCTATCTGTGAAATTTGAACGTTAGCAGTGTCCTGATATTTAAATTATGGAAGGAAACCCGTTTACTTGCTAGACTTTACTGTCAGACGCTATTGAGTGACTGACTGGCCTTTTTATTATTATTTGGCAATAACATACATAAAATGAGCTGTAAAGGGTACATGAGCATTTGTCTACATCAATAATCCACTTCTTGTAATGGCCAAAATTAACTGACTATAGCTTCTAAGTCGATTTGACAACTAATAGTCGTTATTTTCCCACTTAAAGACATTTTCAAGCCCCCCCCCCCCTTTTTGTAGGGAAGTTCTAAACTAGTATTATCTATCAAATGCCGTTGGAATTTAACCTTTTCATTTTTTGGCCTGCAAAAGGGACATAGTACCTTTAAAATAATGTGCTCTCCACCCGGAATAATGGGTATACGTGATTCACGGTCATGTGGCATGACATTTTAGCCCAAAGTTTTCAGCAGTTTCATGTCCTATTTTGAATATAGTCGGTGTTTTTTTCTAGCATGATATTCCTTCAAAATTGAAGAATAAAAAAAGCTCATGAATTATTTTCATTACACCTTTTGCCCGCCTATGAACTCTATAATACAGTTCATATTTTTCCCGCAATTTTGTTGACTCTGTTTTGTAATGAAAATGACAGAAATTACATTCGCTGCCTCATTATGAAGATTTGTGGGTACCTTGCTGCCCTAGATAATTTTGAGGATTTTCGGGCGCATCGTCGCCTGGATATGAAATGTTGCATGGTTGCCCGAATATCGAAACTTTAAAAATCCCGATTGGAGGGGTTGCAGCCCACTAGCACGCCCAACCCCACCTCGTACGCCCATATTTACCAGAAGTCGACCTTACATTTAATCTGAAGAATGATAATGACCACATGGCACTCTATTATTAATGGTTGAACAAACAGAGAATGTTTCTGCAGCAGGTGGTCCATTGATGTTATCATAACCATACGAGTGTACATGTATACAATCTTAAAGTGGTATTTTGACAGTGTTTTGTAGAAGAATCAGACATAACTATTGTTGCTACCTTGTTTGGCGTTCAACAATAAGGGATAGAGCAACGTCGATCTGGCGCTGCTCAGTGGCTGCCGGGCTTACGATCAATTGGGCAAAAAGAATTTCCGTTTCGGTTTAATAAAATTTGGAGTGGACTATTAGGCTATTATTATTATTATTATTATTATTATTATTATTATTATTATTATTATTATTATTATTAAATAGTCATATATTGCAACTTTTTGGTGGGATTTTGGTGCCTGATCCCAACTTGTCAAACAGTCAATCAATCAATAGATTAATACCGGGATTAATACCAACCACGCAATAAATTAACTATATTCTTCAGTCAATTAATCATTTAAAAATCAACCGAACGAACAATCAATCAATCAATCAATCTGATTAAACAAATTATTGATGAAGCACCTGTTAACAAATCCAACCAATCCAATTTAATCGACAAATATAATCATTTAGTCAAAAAGAAGAGAAAAGTACTTACTCAAAGCAAGATATGAAAACAAGACGAGCAAGGTGTAAGCCATCGTTTTCTCCATCTCGAACTAAAAGAGAAAAGTCTTCACCATGCGACTTCTCTCGATCCATTCGACTTATCTGATATTGCATGATACCTGTACTTATATATGGATTCTGGAGACATAATGAAGGTTTGATTGTTTGCCAAAGGAAACGTGTAGTTGTATTTAATTGATGGTGAACTTTGTCCATGCATACCGCTTGAAACAGCTGTTGGAAACAAACTTTGAGGAAGGGGTCACAACTTGATAGGAAAGTGCAATGCTCTTTATAGATCAACCTCTTTCTGCACAAGGACTATTCTGTCTCCCACCCCCTACGCACAAAAAATGAGTGCTAGGAAACACAAATTTAGTCGTTGGAAAATATTACGACATGATAAATCTGCATCGTAGACGAAACAAGTTCACATTGGAATTTTATATCAGTTTTAAAAAAAAACCATTAGATAGAATTCATTGCCAATATACAGAATATACAGGGATTAATTCACAAAACAGATAGAAAGAGAGAGAGAGAGAGAGAGAGAGAGAGGGAGAGAGAGAGAGAGAGAGAGATATATATCAATTGATACAGGATGGATATCATAGTTAATCTATTATGTGAGCATTGAATGTCGGTATATATGCAAAGTATTCCTTATTATATATACCTCTCTTTAGCATGTTGAATAAATCTAGTCATCTAATTGGTCGAAATGGGAGTCGTGATAATAGCCACGACCGCAAAGAAACGAACTATGCCCCGGATAACGGGCAATAGTTAATGACAAAGATTTGTTATTGCTATAACAAAGGTGCGGCGCCCTCCCATTACTTCCCATTTTCTCTTTCTCTCTCCCACCGCCCACCCCCCCCACTCTCTCTCTCTCTCTCTCTCTCTCCTTTTCCCTCTTCTTCTTCTTCTTCCCCTCCTTGTTCGTTTCTTCTTCTAGTTTTCCTTCTTCCTCTGCCCCTTTTACCCTGTCTCTTTCGGATTTCCTATATTGCTCTGTATTTTAAAGAAAAAAAACCTCGTCTCTGTTCCCTCATTTCATTAAATTCTTAGAAAAAGAAGACGATTCGTTCTACCGTTCTCTACTCGTAATCCTTGTCTGAATTCTGTTCCCCCTCCCGCGCAAAGCCCGGAAGCTTTGACGTCTCATTAAGTTCTCAGAAAAAGAAGACGATTCGTTGTACCGTTCTCGAATCTTATTCCTTGTCTAAATTCAGTTTCCCTTCTCCCGCGCGAACCGCTGAAGCTTTGAGGTTTAATTAAATTATTAGAGGAAGAAGACGGTTTGTTGTACTGTTCTCGACTCTAAATCCTTGTCTGAATTTTCAAAAGTGTTTCTCTATCTGATGAAAAGTCACAGTTCGTAGGGGAAAAAAAATTGCCGGCTGACCGACCGACATAATACATCTTACCGACTTCAAACTTCTGCATTGATATAGTACACCAGGGTCGAGCAAGAATACCGACACAGCTGACCCGACATAGCAAAATAATATATGCATATCTCTCTTGCTCCCTCGACGAGGCGACTCCACCCAACAACCCCCTCTCTCTCTCTTACTCCCATCTTACCGACTTCAAACTTCTGCATTGATATAGTACACCAGGGTCGAGCAAGAATACCGACACAGCTGACCCGACATAGCAAAATAATATATGCATATCTCTCTTGCTCCCTCGACGAGGCGACTCCACCCAACAACCCCCTCTCTCTCTCTCTTACTCCCATCCCTCCTCTCTCAGGCTCTTACCCCCTCTCTCTCCTATCTTTCTTCCCCCGTTTTTTTTTCCTTTTCCCTATTTTTCTTCCTTTTCTCCATTTTCTTTCTTTCCTCTCCTTCCTCTTTTTCTTTTTTCTCTTTCTTTCTTCTCTTCTCTTTACTTTCTTTCCTTTCTTTTCCTTTCTTTTCTTTCCCTTTCCCTCTCATTTTTCCCTCCCCCTTTTCTCATTTTCCCGACGGCAGCACAATTTTACCCACAATATCCTGACAGGTGTGTGTGTGGGGGGGGGGGGGGGGTGTCGTATCCCTACACCCCTCTTTAGCGACGCCCCTGTTTAGGACGACGGGAAAATCAAAGAGGACGCGTTCTCGATTATTTTAGTCGATGAAGGAGATGACGCGACGCATGCGCAGTGCCTTAAAAATAACATTTCACGTAGCAGTCCACTATGCCGACGTGCAAATTTAAAAGTCCCTAATGTTACAGTTTTTAGGGTTGACGTTAAGAATTCGGTTAGAGTAGAATATTGACCGAGAATCGCCGGCGAATGTGTCGAAAAATCTAAGGAGAAGGTGTTTACAATTTTTTTTCTTTTTTTCACTTCATTACTTATCATCATTCGTTTTCTATATCTAATCGCAGGCCTGTAACGCCGTGGTTGTTCACATCATTAATTTGATATTTTAATATGAAATGCAAACATGGGAATAATGTTTGCATAGTATTCCACAACTCATATCATTGATTAATTATCCGTCTTTGTTAGATCAAAATGCTCGTACTGAATTATTTTACATCATTAATTTTCGCGTATTCTGATAAAAACACAATTAAGATAATCAAGAGGGTATTAACTACGAGTAGGCTGATAACACATTGTTGCAAAATCATTTGTTTGTTTATGATAGCAAGACGGAAACCTCTAAAGCAGATATTGAGGACTCCTTTACTGGATACATGTACTTCATAATTTGTTGATTTTAAAATAAAAGTTCATTTTATAATGCATGCGTATAGAGTTTGAGCAGGATTCGGCCATATCCACCAGTTAACCTGGCCAGACATCCCATTGAAAGCACAATAATTCCCGGCATTTCTGAAAGTTTGTCATATTTTCCTTATTTGTGCGTTGATTTTTAAAGTTAGAATCTTACAATTGTATTAATCAAAAAAATAGCTCATGGGATTCGAACCAATGACCTTTAGTAAAGATAATAGTGTGATTGGACCCTTACGTCTAATCCTTTAAAGAGCTCTATATACAGTGCGTATCAAAATATATACCAAACTTTGGTAGCTTCTATTTAAAGATTTATAACCTATGTGACCTTGAACCATATGTTATGGTAATGGGTAACTAATACCCTGTCTAATGATACCATATTCATAATTGTGCTGCCACGAATGACTGAGCAGCAGGCTTTTAAAAAGTATTGTCAAAATCCTCTTCTAACAAGTTTGTGGCAGAAGCAATGAATGTAGGTCAAAAGCCGTTCTGCGTGTGTTATCTTGTTTCGAAAACAATTGCTCACTTATTTACATTGACTATTAGGCAGTTGAAAATAAACTCAGGGAAATGCTTATTACAAGGGAAATAATGATATACTCTTTGTTATAATGATTTACAATGTCAACTTCATTCGCATGCCTTCTCATTGGTTGTGTGAAAGCCTGGCTATATTGCATCATTTTAAACAATGAAACAATGAAGCAAGACGCAAAATTTAACCTTTAAAATTATTTAAGACCAACGGGGCACATGCATATGGCCTGACCCACATTCGTTCCATCAGCCCGAATTTGGTACAAGGCGATTTTGACAACACTGTTTCAATACCCTGGTGCTCTTTGTGGCAGAAATAATTGTGAATTGGGTGTCATCGGACAAAAAAAAAAAAAAAAAAAAAAATTAATCATAAAATATATTTCAAAGTCATATTGGTAAAGACGATTTATTAGGAGCTACCAAAGTTTGGTATTTTTGTGTGTGATACGCACTGTTGATACCGACTGACCAATATATTCCAAGCGCAAATTAAATGCCCGTATCGCTAGAAAGAAATCTTCGATTCGAACTGATTACAGTTTTTATGTGGTCCCTAATCTAAAAACATTGTGTATATCTTTCATGTGTGTTGAGTATTCGGTATGAAGATAACTAAACGTGCATGCAAAATTGAAAAGAAATGGTAAACTTAAACCATATACCTATGATTAAATGGATGTAAAAAATTCACAAAAATTCTATTTTGTAATCATTCACTTTTATTAAAAATCCTGATTGAAATATCAATTCATTGATTCGTTGATATTTTCTGAAGCTTTTGATATAATACATTTCTTTTTTCTTTTTGCTATAGACACTTAATTGTTACTTTTAACTTCTAAGCAGCTTAAGCTTTAATCAGTCAAGTCATCAAAAATAATTAATGCTGAGCGCATACTGCACTAAATATTCCTCTTTCGCAACATGGATTCGATTACACTCAATTTCAAAAGCTTATTTTGGGGGCTTATCGCTGGATAAGGGTTTTTTTGGAAGTTGATTACATTAATTGGTTGGGTTCTCAAACATAGCACGGTGAGTTACGAAGAATAAGGTCATGAAGATCATGAAGAACATTATCTAAAATACACTATTAAATCGTTTTAGGGTAATTTAAATCCACCTAAAGGGATTATGAACTTTTAAACCGAATTTGTCGCTGGAATATTATTTAATCATTTCATATAATATTTAAAGTGAGCAAAATTCTCGGGAGTGAAATCAAGATTTATCTAAGAGCACTGAGATGAAACTAGGAATGCAGCTTGCTCGCCATCTGCCTCTATACCGTTTCGCTCCGACCCGGAACCGCTGCACATCAAGTATCTGAATAATTAGAAACAGAAGAAAAAATACCAATCACTGTGATGACCGTGGCGATCAGAATTAATTGCAATTTGGTTACAATACAATAACTTTATTGTCATAGATTATATGTAACTTTTTTCATAGGTATTAAGGGACACAATCATGGTAATAAAACAAAAACAAATCAAAGCACCGTCTTGTTGGTTTTGCCAAGTACTTATGAGCACAGTAGCCGTGTGTGAAATAATTTAGAAAACAGATTATAGGACCGTTGTAAGAATAAGGAACACACAACTTTTGATTGATTAAATTACTGATCCTAAGATGAGATACACAGTTTCCATGATTTTCTCATTATTTTCAAATCGTTTGTTAAAGATATCTAATCACATAATCCCGAGACATTATTATGTCATTCTACATTCTGACTTCGGCAAGGTCAGCATAGGTCGAGTAGTTTGTAAAATTACTAACAAATAAGACCTTGTATACTACATTTTAGGATTTGAAAATATAAATTCTGACGATAATTCAAAGTTGCTGTTAATGATATGCGTACTACGAATAACAGGGTACTTTAGAACTGTTTTGAGTCTTTTCACTTTAAGAATTCGGCTGACAAACACCGCCCCCCACACACACACACAAAGAACATGTCACATGAAAACTGGGAGGGGCATTGGCCGGAGTGTCTCCCAAAACCTCAAATTGATAGACTTCACCCCATACTAATGTTTATAAGCGCTGTACTATTAAAACGCTCTCGGATTCGATGATTTTTTTCAATTTCTTTCTACCGGGTTCCAATTTACATCGCATGTTTGGAGAGAGGCTAATGTAGATTGATATGTTGCCAAAGGACATTAGTGCCGCGGCGGGACTCGAACCGTGAACCATGTAAACGTCAGCCCGGTGACGTATCCACTAGACCTTGACACCTTTAAATTGTTAATCATAATAATAAAGATAATAATAATAATAATAACCTAATAGTCCACTCCAAATTTTATTAAACCGAAACAGAATTTTTTTTTGCCCAATTGATCGTGAGCCCGGCAGCCACTGAGCAGCGCCAGATCGACGATATATGCATAGCTCCTATATATTTTTGTCTCTTCAAAATCTCACTGACCTGAAATCATCCTCGGCATATTCGACCTCCAAGTAGTCGATGTAGATCTTGGGTTTGATGAAGAAATCCCACTCCCCTGGTCGGTACCAGTCACGGTCGTAACTCCACTCGAAGTAGAGTCCCGTCAGGTCTCCGATGTAGTCCTCGGCAAGGAAGGCGAACATGTAGTTCTTATCGTGCTCGAAGACAATCGATTCCCTGCAAATATTGATGTGAGAATGAGAGAGATAAATGGGGGCGAACTTAGGAAGGGTGGTTTTAAATGGCGTAACATTGTTACGAAGTAGAGTCTCGTCAGGGCTCCAATGCACTCCTCGGCTAGGATGGCGAACTTGGAGTTCTTAACGTGTTTTAAAAAAGTCGATTATGTGTAGGAAATTAAACATAAAGCATCGTAAATAGTGGGAGTTGCAGGTTAAGAGGGGGGGGGGGGGGGGGGGGTCACCGTGGCACTTGCCTCTCCCATCGAATGGTACTGAGAACATTTAGTTTGATGATGTTCGATGAATAATGTTTGATGAAGAATGTTTTACTCGACTGCTAAGAAAACATGTGCATGCTCGTAATCAAACATCCAGGGGACCGACGACCTAAAATCCTCTCCGAGGAACTTGGTAATACGGGTTAATGTCATACAAAATCGCAAGAGCGCATTGGATGGGTTTCGAACCCGAGACATCCCGGTTATGAGACCTCTGTTCTACCACTGAGCCACCGCGCCTCCTGTATTATTCACCGAGTAGGACCGATGTGCCCCCTCCATGATTCAAGTACCTCCTCAATGGTTTGTCTTTTACGCCACTGAATGATGACGATGGAAAAGGATAGATTCAGGAGAGGTGGAGGCAAGTTATTAAGTCGTATTTTGCTCTATAGTAACAATCTATGATGTTTTAAGCTTTAATCACAATATAAATACTTTCTTTTAGTAGGGATCTTAAAAAAATTAGTAAAAGGGAATTAGTGAAAACGGATGATAATTTGGATGATGTCTTCAGTGTTAGCCAAAAAGTAACCCGATATGTTTGAAGATTTGTTATATTTGTTTATATTTTTATACATACCATGCTGCCTCCAGCGAATGACTATAGGGAGAGAGACACAGGGAAAGAGAGAGAGAGAGAGAGAGAGAGAGAGAGAGAGAGAGAGAGAGAGGGGGGGGGGGCGAAATAGAAAGAGAAAGAGAGGGGGTATACAAAATGAGCGGAGAAGGTAAGATGAAAAGGAGATGATACAACCCTGTCTCACACCGTCCCTCTTTTGAAAACTACCTTTCTCGCATTTTATCCAAGAAGGATCCCGCCCCTGATCCAACCCCCTCGATGGCTAGACGAGGCTTCGCCATTGTACCAGGGAGGTCCTCCCTGATTGTACTTACAAATTGAGTTTGAGTTTGGTTGTCTGACCGAGTGTCCCGAACAAAGTGACGAATAGCTCTCCTTTCACGTCGTCATTTATGAACTTGTTTACCAGGTACAGCTTCACCCAGTAGGACTCACCTGTTAATAAGAAAACATTATTAGACTTTGCTTGTTTAGTTATACAGTCAAATGGGCCATTTTCGTAATGTCATCAAGTTTAAACAACACAAATCTCATGAAATAGATGAAAAAAATTATTGAGCAGAATGGACAAATATTTGAAATATATGTAAAATATAATGATAATGATGTTGAAGATGATGATGATGATGAAGATAATGCGAATTGTCACCTTTTAAATTGATAAACAATTTACATGCTCAAAAAAGTTTGATTGCTGCGAACCAGCGGAGCTATTATTATAATAATAATAATAAGTTATTATAATGGTAGGTCGATGCGAATCACGCCGGTTCGTTTATTTCCATTTTTTCACGTCGTTTTAGTTCAGATTATTTCAACAAATATAATATAAAAAATACTGTTATGTGCACCTACCGCAGAACGGGGTCTCGTCCATCGTCTGCATGTAGTATACAACGTTCTCCTCCGCGCCGGAGATGGCGTTCGTGTCGGTATGGTAACCCAGGGCAATGGACTGGGTCTGGTCGAAGCATTTCCCAGCGAGGTAGTCTTCGTAGTCGTAACCGTCGCATCTCATTGCAGTGAACGGGCATTGGGTATTGATAGACTCCGTGAAGAGCTCGTAGCTGCGGAGATGGTTGCAGACCACGAACGAGACACCGCCTACGATGACGATGTCGGGAGAAATAAAGGCTTGGTCAGATGTGACGCGGTTAACCACAAAGAAAAAAAAACTATCGCTGTCGCTCGTTAAAAACAAACACCTTTAAATAAATGGCAACAGCGCGCAAACAAGGTCATACATGTAATCACTGAGCTCTGCGTTATAATATATATTCATTCGTTTATTCAACCAGTATAAAACAATTTTACAATGAAAATACAATATACACTATACAATATAATGTTTTTAATAATATGTTCCAAACAAATTCTTCTATTCACAAGTATCCCACTCGTCAAAGTCTAAACTTACATCACCCACTCTGTCGTTCAACTTCACTGTATAATTCTTTATCATTTGTTGGGGTACGGGAATGGAATTCCTTGGATCATGACCTAAGATCCAGTTCTACAATTACCAGATTTAATTGTCCTTGTATTAACTTTGGTTAAAACAAACATCTTGTATTAATTATAACTAATAGTGTATTTCAAAATTAAGCCACATCACTTCTTGTCAAAGAAGTCACGGAGATAGCAGCATTGCGCTGAAGTCTGTTATACTCTATACATAATCTATTATTTTATCTTTATAGTTATATCCAAGTGATAATCGTTTGCAAAGGGACTAAGACGTAATAATATTCCGCTTTTATATAGCGCTTAATACAAATGTCTCTAAGCGCTTTACCGACATACTATTACAGATATACTAATAAGTGAGTCCATCGATTGGGGAAGATAAGCAGGCAACTATTTTGTGCAGCAAGTTTGCATCAAAAAAGATATTTAGACTTATATATTTGATAGCAACAATTTGCAACTTCTTTATGGACAACAGTTTAAATGTAGGGACGACCTTAATAAGATTTGAGACTTAAAGGGACAGTTAAGTTCTTGTTTAAGACCGCAAATGTCTTCAAAGTGCATGGTTATTGCTCTTTTTCTTATTTATGACGTTTCTAGTGCCCCTTTAGGACCTAAAATTGCTATGAAGGTAATGTTAGACCTCAAAATGTGTGGAATTTATATTTAATCCGATCATACCAATTCAGCTTCAGTTTAAAAAACAATACGGTGAACGTTAATCTAATAATTTAATATCAATAACATTACAATTATAACCAATACGAAAAAGGCAACCAAAAGCCAACCTTAAAGGTAATACAAAGTTTTGGTATGGGGTCGTGAATTTGGTTCAAATGAACATACTGGAATCATATGCGATACTACAGTATTCAGTGATCATTGTTTAGCGGTTGAAATCGAGTCTAAAGTTATGAAATTGTAAATAATAAACTCTTTATGCTTTATAGCTCCCTCTAAAGGTCAAGATATTAATTAAGCTATGAAACAACGTTTCTTGACTGAAATCGACCGATTAGCTATATATTTCCGTTTGGAAATTATGTATCACAACTACATTTTCTGATAATTACATGGTCGCAGCTACCATTGTACGGCCATAGGCGCTATCTGAAATTCATCAGAATTTACCGGGAGCACCGGTAAATTTTATTTTCAATTTTTCTCAAAAGCAGAAGTGTTTTAGGGGCTAAATTGTCTAGTGCATATAAAACATCCACAGAGGCATCCAAATATATTAAAATTGTAAAGAATCACTATCCACCCAATTTTCAAAATTTCCCAAAACTTTGTATTATTTTTAACATTGGCTGGAATAAAACGTAAAAGGCGCTATCTCGTTTTTTCAACGACTGGTTCAAAATTATCGAATATTTGTTGGGCCCCATAAGTATTAGAAATGGTTATATTAGTATGGATATTTCTGCCGTTTCCGAACAGATTTTTGACCAAACAAATTTGACACTCAGTTTTTCATTATTTCACAAACAAAATATTTTGTGAAGTGCCCTGATGATCAAAATTCAACTATCCCTTTAAACCAAACAAGTCAGAGTATAAATATATTACCAATACATAATTGCAAAAAAAAATCATGTTAATTTTTTAATGAGATGTGCGACTTTCGCAGTTCAAAGCCCCGAACCACATCTCTAACATCAATATCAGCAACCATATTATCATAACCTCGAACACCCTGCATTTGACCATGAAGTAGAAGAGTAATTTAGGCATCCGTTATGGATTGAGATCGAGAAGGAAAACATAGAGATACAGAGAACCTTGGCAAACATTGAATTAAGTAAATCGGACTGTATTCATCTACCGCTGTTTACATTAAAAGGCGCTTTGGCTATCGATTAGATGCTAAGTTATTTGCGAGCAGATCCTTTCCTATTACTTAGTGCATGTTTGGAGGGTTTGAACAACTAGGGGGCAATGCGAAATATCGAGAAAATAAATAGTATCTCATGGCATTGTGAATACATTCAATATAACACAAAATGTGGTAATGGGAACGACACTATTTGACTTCTGCTATAACATTTTAACTCCTAATTTGGCGCTCTTTCTAAATCGTTGATAGAATAAGCTGTCATATTATCGCAATCGCTTTTTTCTTGGATTAGTATTCTTGGCAGTGGTATAGCGTGGATTCAGCTTATTAGGGCCAATGACATTGGGGTAGGTGTTCATCGATCTCTTTCAGTAAATAAACTTAATTCTGTAATAAACAAGGGCAAATATTCCGGGTAGGCTATGTGTGCGAAATGCGGTCCAAGTTTCGCCATTCCAATGGGAAACGAGTGGTGGGGGGGGGGGGGGGGGGTGGGTGGAGGGCACATGCCCCTGAACTCTAATCTACTCCACTAATTGTTATGCTCCATTGCTCACCAATAACAAGACTGCCCTCACTGATGATGTGCTCCACAATCCCCTGATCACATCCGGGTTGTTCCCGTCCGCCATTGACGTAAATGTCCACGTGACCACATGGTACATAGATTCCCATGCCTTAGGAAAGAAGGATAGGATTTTTATTTTATAATGGGAATGCAATTATTCTTATGATCTCCCATTTTGGTATCAATATCAAATGATGGCCAATCGATACGTTAAATCATCTCACTTTGGGTCATATAGTGTCACCATAGATATTGTGTCATGACATCATGTTAAGAAACATTGACCTTTGCAATACAAAGAATATCATTATTATCATCAGGTCAACACTTAAGATTAGCATCCTTTGAATGGAACCTTATAAAGACGTTTGTAATACTATGTGAAAGGATGGATTAGGTAATTTGGGCAGAGAGTTTTCCCCTTTTGATTCAGGATATACACTTTGTGTACATTGGATTCATATTCGTTTGATGGTTATATGATTATTGATAATTGGCATTGATAATTTTGTTTTCTTCTATATTATCTTTTCAAACATACATATTCATGTGCATTAATGTGACGTTTACAATTGATTCATTGATATTTTATATATTTTATCCAATGCAATATATTACAATGTACAATAAAGGTAAGAAATTAAGTTACACGCATTATTTGTATGAGATAAACATGATACATGAGGGCTACATCATAAGTATAAAGCTTCACTTGCTTGCAACCCTCAATGAAACCGAAAAATAAATAAAAATGAGGAGAGTGAAATGCTATTACATGTATAAGAAAGATAGGAAAAGGGGGAAGAAAGCTGATTTTAATTACAACAATAGCAACACCTGTCGATATAAAGAGACAAATATTAATAAATGATGCCAGGTCATGGACGGTATCCGTTGAATGAACTAACTAACTAGCAAAATAAATACCTACTCACCTAGGTTGTATATAGGACTAGTATCAGTGTGAATGACATCAACGAACTGAGCATCAGTAGGATCTAGACGCACGATGGTGTCTGTGTCTTCGTAGTATGGCCCAGCTGGATCCATACCTGACCAAAACACAGAGAAAAATGATTACTACTACTACTACGACTACTACTACTACTACTACTACTACTACTACATTTAACTGCTACTACAACAACAACTACTACTACTACTACTACTACTACTACATTTACCTACTACTACAACTACTACTACTACTACTGCTACTACTACTACTTCTACTACTACTACTACTACTACTACTACTACTACTACTACTACTACTACTACTACTTCTACTACTACTACACTTTACTACTACTACAACCTCTACTACTACTACTACTACTACTACTACTACTACTACTACTTCTTCTTCTTCTACTACTACTACTACTACTACTACTACTACTACTACTACTATTACTACGACTACTACTACTACGACGACTACTACTACTACTACTACTACTACTACTACTACTACTACTACTACATCTACAACTACTACTACTACTACGACTACTACTACGACTACTACTACTACTACTACTACTACTACTACGACTACTACTACTACTACTACTACTACTACTACTACTACTTCTACTACTTCTACTACAACTACTACTACTACTTCTACTACTACTACTACTTCTACTACTACTACTACTACTACTACATGTAGTACTACCATCACTACTAGTAATGATAATAATGATAACATAAAAACATAATAAAATAATAATTGTAATAATGATAGTAACAACACTAAGCCTAACAATAGTAGTATTAATAATAATAATAATGATAATAATAATGATGATGATAATAATAATAATAATAATAATTACTACTACTACTACTACTACTACTACTACTACTACTACTACTACTCGGCTAGAGTGCTCCAATCCTCTTAGCTGATTTAAAGAGAAAGAGAGAGGGAAAGAAAGATAATGACAGAGAGAGAGTAAAGAAATGGGGAGAGAAAGGGGAGCCGAGAGAGAGGGAGAGAGAGAGAGAAAGAAAGAAAGAGAGAGGAGGGAAGAGAGAGAGAGAGAGAGAGAGAGAGAGAGAAGGGAGAGGGGGAGGGGGAGATAAAGGTAACGAGAGACACACATATAGAAATGGGCTGGGCAAATTTGATTGAAGGATTTTAATTTGATTGATTGATTGATTAAATTGATTGCTTCAAGGACTTCATGAAATGCTCGCAGTCCGAAGACTGAATTGTGATGGTCAGTTGGTTCGGCCAAGGAAAAGTGAAGAAAAAAAACCCCGTTGTCAACAAATATTGATGCTTGTCCCCTTCATAATTACACGTAATTTAATTTCGCGAAAGAGGAAATTGCGGTCAACTTGAACCTTTAGTACAGCTGTATCAGAAGTTTTAGTTATGCATGGCGTATTGTTATAGTGGTCTATTTTTCACTCAAATGAACGCAAAAAATCACGCATTCTCCCTTAATTCCTGCTCAAGTGAAGCTTTAAAATTTAATTGTATAATTCGTCCAATTCATGCCTCCTCAGTGCCACGCAGATAAAAATAATTGGTCGACTCAGATGAATAAAGAAGGTTGACCATACTAGTACAGAATCGAGTAGAAGTATGGTATATTCCGAAGGCATTGTATTAAAGGGGGCATCGGTCTTCCTTTCACTTTTTTCCCCATACTTTCCCCCTTTTTTCATAATTTGATTCTGCCTGAGCATGTTTCCTGCGTCGCTCCACCCGGTTTAGCTACGCGAGTGATATTTTCGTTTGAGTTGTCAGACTACACAATATATTTCCTGTCTGACTTTCCATATATTTTACTTTCCATAATCATTCTGTTGAAGGGAACCGGAGGTAGGACAATCTGAAATCATGACAGCAACAACAGCAAGTGTGTTAGATTTGGTTTGAACTGTTTCATAGAAGGTCGCAGTCTTTTGTCTGAGTATTTCATATTCAGAAGACGCAAGCATTGAAAAGAAAATATTCAGCTCTAAATAACAAATCGGTTGAAACTTAATTTCCTTTTAGGATTGTGAAACCCCCGTGAAACCCTTGCACAAAAGAAAACATCTTCACAAGCCGATATATGTAACAAGTCACGTCGCTATTGTCATGCATGTCGCCAGGGACTACGAAGGACATCATTCTGATTGGTTACTCCTTTAATGACCATGTGTTGGAAGAAATTGATGAACATTAAAAAAAAAAACACGAAAATGTTTTAATCGTGATATCTGCCCACCCCTCCCCCCCCCACAAAAAAGGGTCGCGTATTGGGAGTATCAAGCTATATTTTTCATTTTGTTAGGTTATTTTTAATGCTACCAACAGTAAATAGCGTAAAAAACAAGACGTTATATAAAACACTCTACTTTTTTTGGTACGGATACATAGAGAGGAATAGGGGAGGAAAGAGGAGAACAAAATATATTACTACAAACCAAAAAGAAAAGGTAGATTTATTTACTATTATTAAGTGGCGGATCCGGGTTTCTCTAGCCGGGGGGGGGGGGGGGGGGGGGGGGGTCAATTGCTGTCCTTAGGGGGAGGTGTCTTTAATTTGTATTTTTTTGTATTAAAGCTATGTCTCTGCTATGTTGTGTTTGCCGAGGGTGACGGGGGGGGGGGGGGGGGGGGAGGGGGGCTGGTTCCGCCACCGTCAGCTGTAGCAGTCAGTTGTCAATGTTGTATTTACCCGTTATGCGACCTAGGTCGGCCTGTCTCTCCCCTGCGTAACCAGCCACGTGACCGCCTAAACTGTGACCAATGATGTGGAAGGATTGGGATGACGTCATTCCAAAGACTTCCTTATGGTGAAAAGATAAACATGAGGATTATTGCCGAAAGAGTGATATAAGTTAAAATCCATGATTATGAAGGATCTAAAGCAAAGAATAATTGTACAAACAACGAACAGCAAGATCTTCTGCACTCCAGGCTCATACAAGTATGCAACGAAGTTCATTGACCGAATTTAAACGAAATAAACAGTTATACGGCTTCGTAATCATGGTAATAAGATTCTTGCCCCTCACTATATCTATATATCCCCTTTTCCTTCAAAGTCTGCATATAACTTGGTAAAAAATTGTGTGCATATATATGTGAAAATAAAATAGTAAAATAGTTTTGTCCTATGCATCTACAAAGTGCTACTCGCACCGCGCTCACAAATTGTATTACGTTACTTTTCAAAAAAGAGTTATTAAACAAATATTGCATACTGTATACAAAATTGCCATGTTAATAATTCCAGTGTTAATTGGTGTCGTGGTATTGTGGATAACTTCATCGGACTGTGGATCCCCTGGTTTGCGATTCGAGTCCTGCTGCAGCACTAATGTCTTTTGGCAAGATATTAATCTACATTTGTCACTCTCCACCAAAGTGTAGTAAATGGGTAACTGGTAGGAATGTATTCCTTGAATGCCTCTAGTGCCCAAGGGCAGCTGGGTTGAAACCAGGATACTACTCTGTGGCGCTCTGAGCATTACCTGAGATGGATACGTGCGCCATATTAATGGAGCTATTAGTATTATTATAACTGTTATTGTTATTATTATTACGATTTCTTATTTTTAATTTTATTATTATTATTATTGTTATCTGAAAATTATTTTCAAGCATTATAAATTATCGCTTTATGACAATCTCGTAATACAGTCAAACCTGCTTAAGTGACCACCTGTATAGAAAGCAGGCGCGCCGGAAGCAGTTTGGGATTTGGAGGGGGGGGGGGCAAACATTCCAGGGGGGCTCACCTTCCAGGGGCAGTGACGTAACGAGCAAAAACGTTTGGAAAGGGGGGGGGGGCAGAAGAAAAATATGCATCTCCATCACTCTTACACGTTACATGCAGGGCAGGCCCCACGGAACGTTTTTTAAAGTGGATTATTAACGATCAGGAAAAGCGTTAAATGGCGTGGGGTCCGGGGCCTGAGCCCCGGTAGGGGGTCAAGGGGCTGAGCCCTAAGAAGCTCAGGGTTTTAGGCATTAAAATTATGGTCAGATAAGCATATTAAGATACCTTATTTGTGACACTGGCAGGCCACTAAAGCCACTAAATATAGATAGCATGCGCAATGTTTAGGAAATTTAATTCCTGTTTTACTTTCCTTTTCTTTGAATGGAATTTCATACGTCATTTAATTCAGGTTTTTATTATTGTTATGTTCTTTTGGGTTAAAAATACAAACCATCTTTACTCCTTTACTGCTTTTTTTGAGGGGGGGGGGGCGTTTAGGGGGGCAAAAATGCGTTTTGCCCCCCACCTTTTTGACTAAGGGGGCAACTGCCCCCCCCTGCCCCCCCCACACTTCCGGCGCCTATGATAGAAAGACCACATTTTTTTGTTTCCCTTAAAAATGGTTTCTCATTGAACCATGTACTAAAGGAACCTGTACATAAAGACTACCTGCTTATACAGACCACTTTTCTTGTCTCCCTTGGATGGTCTTTATAGACGGGTTTCACTGTACCTTAATCCTGTCGATAAGAAGCGAGATCTCCGCCCCGACGATGCGGGTGTTGGCGACGGCCTTGCCGTAAAGATCGACAGCTCCCTGGCTCCAGTCTACACGTATCACGTTAAAGTCCCCGTAGTTGAGGAACGCCTCCTGCATGTCGAACATCCATTGCACGTCGCCATTTTGAGTGAAGCCGTGGACGATGAACTTTGTGTCATGCGACGGGTCAAAGAATGAATCTCTGTGTGCGCAGCGTTTTCATGAACGTGAAGAATTCGTTTTATGGAAAGGAAGAAATACAATTAAATCAGTCAATCCGTTTATAAAAATATACATCAGCATAACTTGGTATCCATTACAATTGTTTGAAAAACTACCCCCCCCCCATGAATAGTAATCGGTTTAAAGATTATTCTTCATCGTTGTAGTTTTGTAGAAAAGAAGCCAAATCCTTGAATTAAACGAATAGCCTTTTGGTACAAAATACATATTTAGATTTGTAAAAAGTTGTTCATTTGGAGTTTTATATTTTACTACGTCACAGAGCCAGGCTAGAGGTGTGACAACCCCGCCCTCCGGTGTTCAACATATCTGTCGGCAAATTTCCAAATTTGCAAACCTAGAAATTCGTTTAATAATCACTTGCTCATTCGATGTCACAATTTTAAAAATTAAATTTCTATGGTTTTTGCTTTTGGGATACTTTCGGCAAACCCCGGCCCCCCCCCCCACTCCGAGAACGGACGGACCCCATGCGTGTTGCCAAAATGTCCTTTTCGTAACAAAAGAAAAAGGTCGACCCGTATTGACTTTACACACCGGACTTTTGCTGAAAAGGGGGGGGGGGTGCTGAAAAAGGCTCGTATACAAAAGAAAAAGGTCGAGCCGTATTGACTTTACACACCGGAAAAGGGGGGGGGGGGGTCGGTTGGAACATGCATATGCGTACCCTAAATAACACTGAGTGGAGGGGGGGGGGGGCGGGCGGCAAACATGGCTAAAATAAAATGTCATCCCAGCCAATTATTGAAATTATCTGGTAATGGCATTGTACAAACCTGATAGTAGATGAATCACTGGTTAAAAGTTCCGTGGGCGATTGTGGGTTCTGTCTCGTATTCAGGTAGAAATGAGTCCCGACCTCGGCCCTACTCTCGGGTAACCAACTAACCGGGCGGTAAGGTGGATCGTAGAATGGATAGGCGGATGAGAAACATCCGATCTCGTCATAGCAAACCGTCAGGGGGCTGTCATCGTAGTAATAGTCGTTCAGAATATCTGCCCATCAGATGTGAGAATTAAAAAAATAAAATCAACGCGTCATCCTACTTATGTAATGCTTTTTAAGAAAAGGTCGTTTGCTTGTCGCGTGCTCGTTCTCTTCGTGGTCAGAAAATGGGCACATCCAAACAAATATAAGAACACATTTGTGGTATCTTTAAACTTGACTGCTTAAACTCGATAAACTTTTAAAATAAAAAGATAGAATCCTAAGTTTATAAAATTCTAAACCTATAAACCTTTTGAATATACATTTAAAACATCGACCTTTTACAAATTTAAAGTACCAAATTTACAAAACCTTACACTTATAAACTTTTACAATTTTAACCCCCATTCATATTAAGAAATCAAAAATGTTGTCCCTTTCTAGCTTTCAACTTGAAAAGCATTCAACATCTAAACTTTCAAACATTAAATAGGGACAATAGATATCTAAATGTTTTCTCATAGCGCCTTTCCACAGCTTTACTGCTCATTATAAGAATGAAAGTGAGCTTTTTCAGCAGGCCAGTGTGTGCTACTCATGAACAACAGGCACACTTAGAGTGGGGAACCGTAAACGTGGATTAATATCTTGCCAAAAGAGGTTAGTTAAACCATAATCGATTGGTATTGTGGGCCTTGTCATCATCAATAACATATTTGATTTTTATAACACCGGTATCCGCCAGGCTCTGACGTTCATGGCGCTTTACACATATTATTACCCTGGTTATAGCCGAGCTGCCAAAGTAACTAGCGCTGAAGCATTACCAGGTACCCATTTACACCTGGGTGGAGAGTGGCAAATGTAGATTAGCGTCTTGCCACGACGGGACTTGAACACCGTTCTTTGTGATCTGCAGTCGTATGACTTATTCACTCGACCACAGTCGAATAAAAGTCCAGTCAGCCGAGTGACACACAGATGCCACTTGATTAGTTCTTTACTTCGTTAAAGGACTCTTTATTTCAATAGTCCAAGAAATGAACATGATACAAGATATACCATACAATTTTTTTTTGTCAAAGGACAAATTATGACAGTGTTTTAGACATTTTGTAAAAACAAACAAACACACAACGCGATGTATTTTTGACTCGATATGACATGACACCATTTTATGACAAAATAGTACAACCAAAACAAGGCAGGATGAATATGGACCCCTGATATTAAAAGACAATTGTATAGTACTAATTATTATTTTTGTGTGTGAAAAGAAGTGTTGCCTCAGACATTATAACAAAGCACAGGAAACACTTTACAATTATATTTTTTGACTTTTCCATAATCATAATGCATCTTTGTCCTTCTTTTCAACTTAGTGGACTTACGTGACAATAATTTGACACCGACATGTTCGCACGGGAGTAACATGATCATATTTACACACCGTAAAGTGAATTCCAAACGACATCTTTTCACAAGCAAGCGAATGGCATTCAAATTTGTCGCCGTATCTACCAACATGCTGCTTGATGTGTTTGAACTCGTAAAGAATAAATGAACAATGGTCTTTGGTGAAATCGTGCGCAGTACATTATTTTCCTTCCCATTAGAAGGTACCCTTTTTTAGCATTTTTAGAATAAATTGTGTAATGCGAAGCGTTGGGTCAATAGTTACTCGTTCTGCTGGAATTGGTTAAACTATTGATGCCCCTGGATGTAAAACATCTTGCCAGGAAGAGTTGAATATGGACATGTCAGTGTTATTTAATAAAGTAACATACAGTTGCTTAATATTTACATCAATTTAGAATCACCTAAAAATAAACTGACATTACACAATTTCCAAATAAAGACTGGCCGAAAAATGAATTTTTTTTTTACCCGAAAAAAGATATTATAGAAATAAAAGCAGACGGGAAACCCCGTAAAACTCCCAGTGTGAAGCCCATTTCATTTTCTCATGACTATTGAATGAAAGACATGATACTTGCGCGAGAATGTCAAATCATCGCCGTTACACGTTATTTGCTCCGAATTAAAACGCATATTATACGTCTGTATTTAGCTTCATCAAAACGAACAAGAAACTCGTAGATAGAAATAACATGTATTATTAAAGTGGCTCAATGAAGATCAAGAACAAGAGAAAAAATATCATCCAAACATATGGTGAATCTATCCGATGAGTTTTTGATGTTTTAACTTTTTCCCGTTGTTAAAATACACGATTGTGAAATTTCTAGATTTCGTCCATGACGAACAAAAATAAGGTAATCTAATACTAATATAACAAATTCCTTACTTGTATCATGAGAACGACTTGATGATTTTTCTTCTACTTACCAACTGGATTTGGGTCGATGTATTTTCCCGAGATGCATTGCGCCAATCCGATAGCGACACAAAGGCAATAGAAATATTTCATACTGTTTCTTTTTTGTTCAATTTACATCGATAATCATGGCAGCTTCACTGTTTTATATGTTTAAAGCAATTATCTCGGGCGGTATACATAGCCTATTTGATGCACTTGGTTCGAATTCCGTATGATATCTTCGTATTGGAGAAACGGATCAGAATAGGTATCTTTGTTTATTTTTGTGATGACGCAAGTATCAACCTTAGACGAACGGACATGATTATTTAATTTGCGTCTTATTTGTTAAGAGGCTCAAAATGTATACACTATAATCGCCTCAGAGGCTTACATCACACTTCTCTTTAATTCGCAATATTTGTTATCTTTCCCTTTAACAAGACCACTAAATACTGAGACATTTGAATTACCAAGAAATAGAGATGGACTTATGTTACATTTCTCTCAAATCCATTTAGTAGAGGCTACTATGAAATCCCGTGAGATAATCGTGCCAAAATTGTTTTTTTTGGCTAACTTTGTCAATTTCGGGGTGCTGAATCTAAAAAAATTTGGTACCATTTTTTTCGACCACGTCTTGGGCAGCCATTTTGAATTTCAAAATGGCCACCATAAATAGTTGCATTTTGAGCATTATTTCATATTATAGACATCATAGAAGGTTCAAATTTCGGATAAAAAGCATGGCATTGATGTCTGATATAGTAATACAAATTTCCATGAAATTGTGCTTTGTTCCGGATAAGCCGCCATTTTGAATTTCAAAATGGCCGCCATTGTTAAGCCTATTTCAACTTGAATATCAAGTTAGAAGTGCATGGAAAGGTTAAAACTTGTTATAGTATCATCATTATGATGATATACATGCTTTAAAAGGAAATACATGCTTCGTTTAATGATGACCATTCTAATTAGCCGCCATCTTGAAATTCAAAATGGCCGCCATAATATGGTATTTCAGATTTGTAACACATATTGGGTATTGGAGCGCTTAAAATGCGAAATCAATCATTTTGGAAGGCATGTGATTCTAGAATCAATCACGGCAGTCAACTCCTGCTTTATATTGCGATATGTTTAATTGAATAATGACATATAATGCATGGCATAACCTGAGACTGATAAATCATGCGATTGTGATTTCAAAGACCAAATGTCTACCAAATGTACCTCCTTACAACTGTGTCTAAAATGACAACTAATCTTATGGATGTGAGTTTAGTTGCGACGTTGAAACAACAATTTCTTATAATCTATAATTTTATATTCACCTAGTCAACATCGGGGCTATTCACATCATAGTCCTGTGTATTTTCACAGTCACAACACTTGCATAGGGCTGTGCAAGGCAGATGGTTCTTCTTGCAAGAGCAATGGCTTTTGCATTCCTTCCGACATGAGCATTTGACCGATTCCATGACTGCCTTCGGCGCAGGAAGCTCTAAACACTTGGTTGCACTGAATGTTCCTTCTGGGGAAAGCTCCCATCCATTTCCATCTAGAGGGGGCAGCTTTGGTTTTGGAACTTTGTATCCCTTGTTGACTCTGGCTACGAAGTTTGCCCTCTGGATGTGTGGTGTCAAGGATCCAAGGGTTGGTGGGAGCTTTTCTGCCTCAAGATTTTTTGCCCTGAATAACTCCCATCTAAGGTCACTCACTTTTGTGGCTTTGCTGTTTCTAGCATACACCTTGCAGACAAAGTCTTCCAAGACTGATAACACACTTTCCTGGTTGAAGTCTTCTTCACCTAATGTTTGGAATGCATGGACTATGTCACATTCTGGGTCAAGGCCCAAATACTGCTTGATCCATCTGCTCTTTGAGATGCCTGCAAATTTACCACCCCAATCGGCACCACTGAATGCATGTAGACCAAGCAAACCTTTGCTTTTTTCGCTACCAACTGCAGAACATCTCTCAGCAATGTCAATTGTACGTTTCGCATTTCCCTTTCCAGTGATGAAGCAAAGGCGACCTAAGACATTGTGTGTAGAACAAAGATCCATCAGATATACAAAGACGTCAGTGTCTGGAGAATAAACATCAATATCTATGATGTTCTCTGCTGCTTTTGAGGTAGCATCCAGTACATGCAATGGGATGAGTGTATCCGCTTCCTCATGTGTGTGATGGGTGAGTTCTGGATCAAACATATCTGGCTTGTTGGAATATGTAGCATTTCCGTAGACGACAACAACGTTCTTGCTACTATTTGTATACTCATGCAGAACAGCCTTTCCAAGATATTCTGTCAGTTGCGACTTGGTGTAGTTGTGAGACAGAAGAGTCTTCAGTGAAACGAGCTTGATGTTGGTATTGTCCTTGATATCAAACTTCACTGGTTCAATACCTGCAGTCCTTTTCCCTCTAGTCTGTGCCTTGAGGGAATCATCAATGTATCTATCAAAGATAACACGTGCTTCATCGTACTGGGATGCAATTTTCCTTATGCTCCTAACAAAAGCAGCAGCAAAGTCGGAGCAGTCAACCATTGATGGGGACTTCTTTATGGCCTGGACAACTGCCATGGCATCGATGATGCACAGTTTGTCTGTTTTCTTGTCTTCTCCTGATGTCTCTATGTTGGGTGAATCTTGCTGCTCATTGATCTGGTCTTCAGACTGACTATTCGGTTCAGTTCCATAGGTTTCTATGGCATGGATGAAAGAGCTTTTGTCTGATGGGATAAGGAGAAGGCCATCTGAGGTAAATAGCGACCTAGGAATGACAGAAAATTCATATTTTCCAATTGTGTCACCCAGTGAATGTATCATTCCAGGTCTGGACTGCTGAACAACGAGAAATCTTGCAAGAAGTTGGCGATCCTCTCTTAGCTTGACGAGCTTGGCTCCAATCTTACACTGTGTCTTCTTTCTGCAAGAGCTGAATGTCTTCAGTTTGGCCTTCCTCATTGGGTCCCAGATAGATTTCTTGGCCGATGACTCAACTATTCTGTCAGATACAAATTCTTGGAACATGATCTTTCCCTTTACATCTCTTTCAAGAATGTCCTCCTTGAAAGCTTCAGGAACTTGCATGTTAGATACCATATTCATCAGCTTCATTGACCTGATTTCAAATGGATTGCCCTCGCAGTGTCGTATGATTGCTTTCTTGATTGTTGAGGAATTACTGTGCATGCGAAGAGCCACAGAACCACTGAGCTGATAGTGCTCCTTCGTAGTTTGAGAGTCATTGGTGGTACAACAGTAAGCATCTTGGAAGTCTTGAATGAGGATGACCAATTCAGGGGCAATCATGAAAAACCTACCCAGTGCTTCTTCATTTTGTGTTATTCCAGTGATGCCGCCAGCTACTTTCACTTCCCTGATCAGCTGTTCCAATGTTTGGTCAACAAATAGGTTCGTGAATGGGATGCCAGATTTAGTGACCATCATAAAGTCCCCTGCCTTTAGTGCATCCCAAGTAGTAGGATCAGATGTCTTCAGCGAATGCATTTGAAGAAGGTAGATTGGCACCCCGGCCCCCCCCCCCCACTCAGTGTTATTTAGGGTACGCATATGCTCGTACCCTTTTTTTGAAAGCACCCCCTATCTGAGGACTGCCAACATTTCCGAACCCCCCTTTCGCGGGCTTTTCGCGTGCTTTTCCTGCCTTGGAGACCCCCCTAAATCAGGAAAAATGCTCAATGTACCCCCCTAAATTCGGAATAATTTCTCAGGAGTCCAAAGAGATGAGAGAAAAAAAGAAAAACACCCCCTTTTTAAAGAAATCTCCGTGTGAAAAGTCAAATACACCCCTTTTTTTTTTACAATTCTCGGACCGGACTTTGTCGCACGAAAAGTACCCCTTTACCGGACATTTTGGCAACACGCATGCGGTCATTCCGACCTCTGAGTGGGGGGGGGGGGGGGGGGCCGGGATTGGCACGAGCCAAGCATACTTGTATAAGTCATGTGCAAAGTAGTACTTGACCTGCTCTTCCATGGAAGCGAGATGCAGCTCCCAGTTCCCCTGTCTGCTAGCTCGAATCACATGCAGTAAACTCTCAACTTGCTTCATGTAGTTGAGTAAGAATGTTGCAATCTCGTCATTCTCTTGGATGATTGTGGTTTGATAATGCTCTTTAATCATCGAAGTTACCTCCTCAAAAACCTGTTTAATGTCACTATCTCTCTCGTGTAACTTCTTACGAAGCTCTTCGCATTTCTTAATCATGCTGTCCAAGTGCTCATGATGTACTGATGCTTCAAACAGGAGATCATAGCACGCCATGATGTTGGTCATGTGGAATTCAATACCACGTTTGAACCACTTTCCAGTGAATATTTGGCGGATCGTTGAAGGGGAAAAGAGGCCTGCTTCAATGCTAATAGATTCCAAGCCACTGTCCTCGAGATATTTTGCAATTGCATGCAGTGATGCGAAGCAGGCATGGAGTTCACCAATTCGAAGAATCCAGTTCTTGTTCCCTGTGGAAGATTGAAGTTTGGTTGCTCTCTCATGTATCTATACACATACATCCACGTGGGTGAGAGCACATGGGGAGCACATGTCATATCAAAGATGTATGCTGGCAATCTGCATAGACACGTGATACTGCATTCTGATGTGATGCGTGTCTCATCATGTCTTATCTCTGGAATAACAGGCCTGTATTTGCACACTGAAGTTTTAATACGTCCAGTCGAAGGCATTTATTTTTCTAGTTTTTCTTTAACACCACATTCAGTAACTGTTATATGTTATAATTAAGCCCCCCCCCCCCCGGGTGGAAGAAGGGGGGGGGGGGGTGATGCGTTTAGGCATATATACGATGATCAAGATGACAGCCGGTATTCTATGTACCAGGTCCTGCAAGCTTTAAATAAAGATGATCTCTCAAAATGGATGATTCTAAGGTACTTTCAAATGAATTAATATAGCAATGTTATTCCATGGCGGCCATTTTGAATTTCAAAATGGTGGCCAATTCGAATGGTCAGTTACTGGGAGCTTGTATTTTGTTTGAAAACACACATAGCATCAATATTATGATACTGTTACGGTACAAACCTTTCCAGGTGCTTATAACTTGAGACATGAGATAAAATAGGATTAGCAATGGCGGCCATTTTGAATTTCAAGATGGCGGCCAATCGAAATAAAGCAAAATTTTATAAAAATGTGTATTGATATATCAGACAT